GCTGCACCATGTGTAACTGAGTCAAGGTAATACTGCGCCGTGCTCTATCCCGCGTGATCTGCAAGCCAAGATAGCTGCGCAACTCACCCAGGTCTGTGCACGCGTGACTCTTCTGCAGCTCCAACTTCACGTGGGCCAGTCCAGCTGTGTCAGCAGTGGCAAAGACCAAATTGTCAACGTACAGGTGGATGTAGAACGGCCGCAGTGAAGTGTCGGTGCGTAGAAACATCGACGGGTGAGCAGTAGGAGCAAACCCAAGAGCCGCAAGAGTCGTCCTCAGTGTGTCGTGCCAGTCGCAAGGCGCCTGGCGGAGACCACAGACTGGCCGCCGGAGGCTCCACTGGGTACCTTAAAAAAACGACCCAGTGAAACCAGGTGGGCGGCGCAGCAAGATCTGCTCGTGCAGGCTGTCCTGTAGAAAAGCAGTGCTGAAGTCAAGAGAGTGAAGCTCGTAGTCACGCTGAGCAGCGACGTGCAGCAGCACCCGAAGAGTGGTCATCTTCGGGGTAGGGGAGAAGGTCTGGAAGAAGTCAACTCCTTGTTGCTGACTGAAGCATCCATCAATGCAACGTGTCTTGAAGACTGGCGGAGAACCCGGCGGCCGCTTCACCCTGAAAATCCACATGCCATCGACGATGTTCGCCCAAGGAGGGGGAACCTCGTCGACGCAAGTGCTTGTGGACTTCCAAGATGCCATCTCTGCGTCCATGGCTGACTGCCACTGAGAGGAGTAGGGACCCTCTATCACCTCTGTGTAAGAGTGCGGGGTCGGGATGTCTAGTGCATCCAGGTCTCCCTGAGGTGCAATCAGCATGGACGTGAGATGAGGTACAGCAGCTGCAAAGCACTCAAAGTCCTTATGCCTGTCCTCAAGGGGGTCCGTGCTAAGAGCACACTCACCCCCGACGGACGGAGGACACAAAGACTCAGACTCAGCAGCAAGAATAGTGGCGTAGTCTAGACGACGGCGAGCAGTAAAGTTGAAAAGCTCAGCAACTAAGGCGGACGCATTAGTGGACTCAAAGGAAGGGTCGGTGATAACAGTGGTTAGGAGACGCGTGACAGTAGGACTAGAAGCACGAAGGGAGTCGGACTCCGGGTCTGGACCATCAGCAAGAGAGGACGCAAAAGGAAGCGGTGGAGGGACACGCAATGGAACAGAGGAAGGACGAAGTGCTGTCTAGTGCGTGCCGGGGATAGAAGGAGGGCGCGGAAGCGGAACACGACAACTAGCGCGAGCAGCGCGAACAGGCGACGCAGGACGAGACGCAGGCTTATGACGCTCAGCAAGACCTCCGGTCGGCCCAGTGTAAGGAGAAGGACCGGGCAGTGGGGAGGCTGGCTGTAACTGCGACTGCGATTGGTCAGGCGGCGGACACAGTAAGGGAGGAGTAGGACCAGTAGAAGGCGGGAGACCAAGAACCTGCTCAAGGAGTTGAACAAAGTACGGCCACGGCTGTGAAGCACCACCAGAACCAGCAGAGACAGCTCCAGGGTCTCCAGCTCCAACTCCTGTAGCACCACTAGCTCTAGCACCAGCAGCACCACCAGCAGGAACAACTCCAGTGCCTCCAGCTCCAGCTCCAACAGCACCTCCACCAGCTCCAGCTCCAGTAGCACAAGCACCTCCAGAAGCTCTAGTAGTACCTCCGGCCCCAGCAGCTCTAGTACCTCCAGTACGAGCACCTCTCGGACTAGCGGCTCCAGTACCTCCAGCCGCTCCAGATCCAGCAGCACCACTCCGGAGGCTCCAGCGCCGAGCAGACCACTCGCGCACTTGCAGTGGAGAGAGAGACTCCGGCCGCGACAAGACACCCGCAGGGCGTCCAGACTTAGCACACTCAGGCTCAGCACCCCCAGGCTCAACACCTCCAGGCTCCGCATGCTCAAGCTCAGCACCCCCAGTCTCTGCACCCCCAGGCTCCACACGCTCAAGCTCAGCACCCTCAGGCCCCGCACGCGCAGGCTCAGCACCCTTAGACGCACCACCTCCAGCAGCACCAGAGTCGACACCTACCTCCACAGGCTCGACAGGGTCTACCTGGGACACACCTTAGGGAGCAAGACCCTGATGGGGGAGGGGGTCTACCGGAGGAGGACCTGGCGCTAGGAAGAGTGGCGGAGGAGGGAGAGGGGCAGTGCGGTAGGGGAAGAGACGGTAGAAGGGAATCGACTCGTCAAATGTGACGTTCCGAGAGGGCAGGACACGGCGCCAGGCGTGTTAGGGACAAAGCCAAGGAAGACACAGGGAACGGCGCGGGAGGAGAGCTTGTCCGTGGACGTATCGCAGACAAAGGCTCGACATCCCAAGACCCGGAACATCGACGTGTCGCCAACCTCCCCTGTCCAACGCACTGTGGGCGAGGTCTCCGGCAAAGAGACACGGGGCCAGAGGTTGAGCTGATGCGCAGCGTACTGGACAGCAAACGGCCACAGAAAATGGGGGGCAGCCGCATGGATCATGGAGGTACGAGCGACCTCCATGACTAAGCCAATGCGGCGCTCAGCAACCCCATTCTGCTATGGAGAGGCCAAAAGCGTGAACGTTTGGCGAATGCCCTCTACACGACAAAAGGCCCGCAAGAGGTCGGAGGAAAACTCACCACCTCTGTCAGAGTGCAGACGCAAGACTGGAAGGTCCGTCTCGAGCCGCTCGCGGAGCTGGAGTCGAACAGCATGGATCCAAGGGATCAGGATATCAGGGACCTTCCCCTTGCGGCGCAAGGGGAAGACCGTGGTGTAACGCGAGTAGTCGTCGCCAACCAGCAGAAAGTACCGCTCGTGGCCCTGTCCACGGACGCGGGCTGGGCCCCACATGTCCAGATGGAGAGTCTGTAGTGGTGCCTCTGTCGGGGGGAACGAGGAGGAGTGAGGAGCAGCGAGCTGGCGCCCCTCGACAGAGGGAAGGCAGGGAGGGGCAGGCGAGGGTGGGAGGGGAGGCAGAGACCTGGGATGGCCAGAGACAAGGAGACGGGAGTGCATGCCACGGAGGCGTGCCACAAAGGGGTGACCAATATGGTGGTGCCAAAGGAGCATCTGGTGCGACAGGGCGCGACACGAGCAGGGGGCAGCAAGCTGACCTGACGCAGACGTAGACGCACCTACCCGAGGGGGCGCATTAGTCAGTGTGTACAGACTCGACCCAGGCCGACGGGTGAACGTGGACACGTGGTGACTGGTCCTGGAGCACGTACAAATTGCCACAAGCTGCCGTCCAGGGGTGGAGGTGTCAAACCCCTGCATCCTGGAGGACAGCAGTGCTCACCAAGTTTGTAGAGAACGAGGGGAGGTGGAGACCTGACAGCGACCCAGACGGAACCGCCGGACACGGCAGAACAGTGGAGGAACGTGCAAGGACTGGGCCCCCAGAGGGGTCAGCCAAAGACACCGCTACAGGTGCAGTAAGCGGTGTGACTGTGGTACTGTGGTGCCACCCCTGCCGCCCCCACTGCCGCCGCCTCCACCCCCACTGCAGCCAATACCGCCGCCACCACCGCTGCCACCACCACTCCCGCTGCCGCCACCACCGCCGCCACCTGCCCCTCCAACCCCACTACTACTACCTCCTCCACCGCCACCCCCTCCACCACCTCCACTGCCCCCACCACCGCCTCCACCTCTGCCACCCCCACCGCTCCTGCCTCCCCTGCCCTTGCCGTTGCAGCGCCTCCCGCTAGGGGCAGACGCAACTCCTATCTCCTCAGCACGAAGGTAGTCAACAGCTGCAGCAGAGGCGAGGGGAGAAGGGGGGAGGGCGAGCACCTCTTGAAGATGTCAACGGGAGTTGTTGTTGGCCCCGTCCTCGCTTGGGCGGAGCCGAATTCGTGGTTGGGTGTACGAGAGGTACAGCCGACTTGCAGCTGTGGGCGTCGCCGACTTGGGCGAGCTGGTCGACGGGGTTGGTCGACTTGCACGGGGCCATCGCAATGTTGCCGACTTGGGAAGCCGGCAGCCCACTTCAACTGGTGGTCGGCGATGTGGCACGTCGACCTGGAAGTCGGCGCCGACTTGCAAGGTTACCGGCTTTCAAGGTCACCGACTTGCAAGGTCACCGACTTGCAAGGTCACCGACTTGCAAGGTCACCGACTCGCAAGGTCGCCGACTCGCAAGGTCGCCGACTCGCAAGGTCGCCGACTTGCAAGGTCGCCGACTTCAAGAGGTCGGCCCGAAAGTCGGCGCCGACTTGGTGACGCCGATTTCTGGTAGCCGGCTTGGGTGGTCGGCTGACGACTGTGCTGGTCAACGTGGACCTGGTCGACCAGGAGTGACGTCGACCTGAGCTGGTCGACCAGGGGTATGGTCGACCTGGTGAGGTTGACTGGAGGTGGCCGTCAACTTGGGAGGTCTACGGGCACATCCAGGAGCACCTGGTCGACATGGTTGCCCGGTCGGCCAGGTTACCTGGGTGACGAGGTTGTGCATAAGAATGCGACGGTCGCCCAGGCGATGTTGGCGAGACTGACCTCGGTGTGGTATCCCGAGGTCGACGTGGCGGATCAGGTGGAGTCGTCGGCACGAGGATGACTTGGCGTGTGCGTTGTGCAGGTGACGAGGCTCAGCACGCCAATCATCTACGAGCACCAACGAAGCTGGTGCGCTGCTGTTCTGCGGGAGCAACGCTGGCACGCCGTCGACCTGCAGCGTTGGCACGCCGTCGACTTTGCACTGCTGTGGCGCGGTCGACCAAGTCGTGCTGGAACGCGGTCGACCATGCTGCACTGGTCGACTCACACAACTGACTCGACATTGAGCAGTTGCCCGAGTCGCACTGTATCGAACCGCAACAGTAAAACAGTTTAATTATATCTCTTCGTATTCCTTGTACTCTTATATAAACCTTTGTACTTGGTTGTTTTAATCAACTTACTTTGCTCTCACATACCCGTGCAAGGTGGTTCAAGGACTTCATTTAAACGCTTCCGCTACTACATCACTCTACCCAGAGCTTAACCCTACCAAAGATCCTAAGGGGCACTCAGCCCAACATGTACAACCCAACCTACACCGCAACTCTCTTTCCATCATCCTTCTCATTGGAGTCAGTGACGAGCTCGGCGGTCCTGGAAGTTGTAATGGCGCCAAACACAGCAGCGGAGGTGAGCCAGAGGAAGAGCGACCCCCAGCTCTCAGCCATGCTCGCACTGCCGTAGTGCGGCTGTCCCACTTGCACCATCACCACCTGCATGACCGCAAACCCGTTCTGCACACCAAGAGCAGTGGCAACAAGGCAGAGAATGACATGAGATTTCCGGCCCTAAGCGAGAAGCAGATACCATTCATCCAGAGCTGTAGTCCTTTCACTCCACCCTTCCAACCCTCCCGCTCCTCCTCCCTCTCAGCATCGCCCACCACACCTGCTACAGAGCAGGGAGAGAAAGCCAGGGCCAGGATCAGCGTTCCCAGCACAGCAGCAGCAAGCATGCTAACTAAGGGTACCGTTGCGACACTCACCACACACAAGCCGATGCCAGCATAGTAGGTGAACTTGCCAATGGCACGTACCCATCTGGTACCACGTGGCTTCAGCATGCACAAAGTGCAGCAGCAAGCATGGTATCGGTGACCGGTGGGTGTCACACTCACCACGCATGTGCCGATGCCAGCATAGTAGGTGAACTTCCCAATCAGGATGTGGTACGTGCCCATATGGTACCGCGTGGCTTCCGACAGGCGGCTCTTGAACAGCACGAAGGCGCACAATCCCCACACGAACTGCAGAGCAGGGAGAGGGGCAGCACGGCACACAATTTTGAGACGTCTCGGAGCTTCCGACAGGCGGCTTTTGAACAGCATGAATGCACACAGCCCCCACACGAAGTGCATGGAGAGGGGCAGCATGGCACACAGAATGGTGCACAGCATGGCATTACAGACTTCATAAGGAGAACTCTTCACGTGTTCATATCTCTCGTGATGATATGAAAGGATAAAAGCAGATCAGATCAGAACACATCAGATCGAATCTGCTCAAGACCATAGCACTAAGCTCGCAACATGGGATGGTGAATTATCGCATCCTTGATGCAAGCCCACGCACCTGAACAGCAAAGAGTGAGAGAGTGAGCACGCCACACTAGGAGTGCACGGATTGCATGTGCTTGTGATTCGTCTCTTTGGAGGCAACAATAGCCACCATTGCCACTGCTGTCAGGATGAGTGCGATCACCTGCCACGCCAGGTGCACCCACTTGGCATACACGGTCGCTCTGCAGTGACACGGATAGTCACACGGATTGCAATCACGCGCGGTTCAGTCGCAGATGCTCATTGAAAATCGTAGCATGATGGAAACTAGAGGGCCAGCAAGGCGGGGTGCAACTAGAAGGAGCAGCTTCTAAGCTTCTATAATTCAACCCCCCCAAGTTGCGGCAGAAAGCGAGAGATGGGAGTGCGTGATGGGGACACGAAACGCGAACCATAGAAGCAGCAGCATATGCCAGAGAAGAGCCGGAGATGGGTGGCCAGCTGGGTGGGTAGCAGCTAGTTGTTATACCAAGCATAGAGCAAGGAGAGATTGGACTCATCTGGGGAACTAGAGCAGAAGGTGAGTATGGGTGTTACTCGGACTCGATCATGATGATGCCAAACGCCACACCCATATGCAGCATGTGCCACAGACGAACATCCAGAGGTGGATCGGAGGGGCGGGATGGAAGGAGAGGGTTACGATCGTACCTGAGGGAGCTGGCATAGAAGGCAAGGAGGGACTCGGTCATGGCGATGCCGTGAAGGCTCGTTCGAGAACGGAATCCCAGCGACATCGTCCGTATCAGCGGTGTGAATCGGGTCGCTAGTGACGAGCAGTCGCGGGCGTCGTGCCGCCTCAGGCCATTTGGAAGCTGGAAGTCCCTCCATTGGGGCACGATGATAAAGGTATTCATTGCTGGCGACCGGAACTAGTTGGGGTCCTTATCCGGTGGTGGCACTTCTTCAGTAGGTTCGGGTAGTTGAATTGCTCCACCGAATTCGTAAGTCCAGCCTTCTGACCCTTCTTCTTGTTGTGCAGGCTTGTACGGATATTGGTCTGGAAGAGGAGGACCACCCTAGTTGGTGTCGTGCGTCGCCCAGTATGGATCTTGTTCCGCTACTTCTTCAAGATGAAGAGTTGGAGCGTCGAAATAAGGGGGCCTTGGAGTGTCAGAATAACAAACAAGAATGGATGAACAAGCAGCAGGATGGGTACAAGTAGGAACCCTAATTGGGTTTACCCCATATGGGCTACCCCACTACAACCTACACAATAAGCAGCACATGACTTTGACACACCCCCATAGGCAAAGTGGGGGAGAACAAGAGGTCACAAGACCAGTCAAGAAAGTCAAAGCAAGCTCAGGGTGGATCACGAAGTCACCATGCATTCTGAGCACAAGCAAAAGGCGACAAGGCCAGTTCACACGCAGAGTTGGATATATACGAGAACAAGCAGCATATTGATCACAACCTAACAAGTGTAAGCATGCAAGTACAAGTATTTAGATCACAGTATAGGCAAAGTCAAGAAGTGAGCAAGTGAGGCAAAGTAGGCACAAGGCCTAGAACAGTACAAAAACGCGGATGATCACCAGGCTGAAGTGCCTTGGTGAAGATATCAGCAGTGTTGGCCCGAGAGGCCACGTAAGCAAGACGAAGCTGACCACGCTGCTGCAAATCTTGAGCAAGGAAGTAGCGCAGAGCGATGTGCTTCATTCTGTGCTCCAGCTATGCTCCTGACACAAGGCAATCATGGCCTTGTTGTCGACGTACAGAATTGGAGGAGAATGAGGCGGATCTACCAAGTCGGCCAGCAAATAGGTAAGCCAGCGTAACTCTTGTGCATCCATGGCCCTTGCGTAGATCTCAGCCTCACAACTAGAGCTGAGAACAGAAGACGAGCAGGTGGACCGCGACGAAACAGAACCGGAGCCAAGGATGAAGGTGTAACCCTGTGACGACCGCTGCGTAGCCAAGTCGTCAACCCAAGAAGCGTCTGCGTGATCAGTGAGGACAACTCGAGCCCGTCCTCCAAGCACGAGCCCCATGCCCGACATACAGCACAAGTAGCTCATCACCCTCTTAGTGGCCTTCCAGTGCTCTGGTCGGTGTCTCCCGCGCGCAACGTAGCGTGCCATGATGCTAAGAGGGTAAGCAAGGTTAGGTAGAGTGCAGGTCATCAGGTACATGAGGCAGCCCACAAGCTCTGGATACGGGCCACTTGGCTCTACGGACTCATTTGAAGGTAGAGCTGAGAGCGAGTGACCGGTAGGCAGAGGAGTGGAGTGTGGCAAGGAGTACTGGAAGTCGAAGCGCTGAAGGACTTGCTGCACCATGTGTGACTAAGGCAAGGTAATGGTGCGCTGTGCTGTGTCCCAGGTGATCTGCAAGCCAAGATAGATGCGCAACTCACCCATGTTCATGCACGTGTGTTTCCTCTGCAGCTCCGACTTCACGTTGGCCAGTCCAGTAGTGTCAGCAGTGGCAAAGACCAAGTCGTCGACGTACACGAGGTGTTACAATACTAAGTTAACTAGGAACCGGGGTTTACTAAGGGCCTAGGCTTAGTAGCCTAGGCCAAGCGGGTGTCGAGGTGGTTGTCACCAAGGAGAATTGATGAATGTGTGTCGTTCACTATAGCACACAAGGTAGATATAGCAAACTAGCAAAGGTGCACCACCAACAAGAAAACATAACTACACTAGAGCTAAAGCTATAGGCTGTTATAAACATATATAAATATATATCGCGACACACCCCCTTAACTGCCTGCAGCACATAGCTAGAGTAAGTCACACCCCCTGAAGGGGTATTGCAAGCGTTGTGAAAGACAGTAGAGAGGTAAGTGAGGAGGAGGAGGCGAGAGAGAGACAAGGGAGGAGAGGAGAAGAACAAAGGAAGAGTGAGGGATGAGGAGAGGAGGTGGGGGGGTGGCCACGGTGTCCCCTCTTACTAACCCCCTTTTACACAAGGGGGGTTGAGTGGGGGATGAGGAGTGGAGGTGGGGGGGTGGTCGCAACGTCCCCTCTTACTAACCCCCACATCCCCACCCCCAATCAACCAACCCTCTATAACCTCACCCCCCATTTCAACCGCCCCCTGGAACCGCACTCCCTCCCCCCTTTTCTTCCTCCAGACCCCTCCCCACCCACGATGGTCCCTGTCCAATTCTTCACAAGTGGGGCTGCTGGTCATAGGTAGGGCTGCTGGTCATAGGTGGGGCTGCTGGTCACGGGTGGGGCTGATGGTCACAGGTGGGGCTACTGGTCACTGGTGGGGTTGTTTGTCACAGGTGGGGCTGCTGGTCACAGGTGGGGCTGCTGGTCACAGGTGGGGCTGCTGGTCACAGGTGGGGCTGCTGGTCACGGGTGGGGCTGCTGGTCACAGGTGGGGCTGCTGGTCACAGGTGGGGCTGCTGGTCTCGGGTGGGGCTGATGGTCACAGGTGGGGCTGCTGGTCACAGGTGGGGCTGCTGGTCACAGGTGGGGCTGCTGGTCACAGGTGGCGCTGGTGCCTGGTGCTGGCGGCTGGCGCTGGTGCTGGTGCCTGGTGCTGGCGCTGGCGCTGGTGCCTGGTGCTGGTGACTGGCGCTGGTGCTGGTGCCTGGTGCTGGCGGCTAGCGCTGGTGCTGGTGCCTGGTGCTGGCAGCTGGCGCTGGTGCTGGTGCCTGGTGCTGGCGGCTGGCGCTGGTGCTGGTGCCTGGTGCTGGCGGCTGGCACTGGTGCTGGTGCCTGGTGCTGGTGGCTGGCGCTGGCGCCTGGTGCTGGCGGCTGGCGCTGGTGCTGGTGCCTGGTGCTGGCGGCTGGCACTGGTGCCTGGTGCTGGCGGCTGGCACTGGTGCTGGTGCCTGAAGACTGGCGCTGGTTTTGGTGGGTGGTGCTGGCGTAACGGCGTTGGTGCCGGTGCTGGTGCTGGTGACTGGCTTCGGTGCTGGTGCTGGTTCCTGGTGCTGGTGGCTGGCGCTGGTGCTGGTGCCTGGTGCTGGCGCTGGTGCCTGGTGCTAGCGGCTGGCGCTGGTGCTGGTGCCTGGTGCTGGCGGCTGGCGCTGGTGCTGGCGCTTGGTGCTGGCGGCTGACGCTGGTGCTGGTGCCTGGTGCTGGTGCTGGTGACTGACTTTAGTGCTGGTGCTGGTTCCTGGTGCTGGTGGCTGGCGCTGGTGCTGGTGCCTGGTGCTGGCGGCTGGCGCTGATGCTGTTCCGCCGCCACTCCCTTCCCCATTTTCCTCTCTCCCCCACAGCATTCCGCCGCCACTCCCTTCCCCCTTTCCCTTTCCCACCCACAGCGTTCCGCCGCCAATCCCTTCCCCTCCTCCCTCTCCCACCCAGAGCGACCGCCGCTGCACACGCGAACAGTCGCGACGGAGGGGGGGGGGGGGGGGGGGGGTGACGAGCATGGAGCCGGGGGAATGACAGGCAGAGTGAGGCGAAGGGAAGGAAGAAAACGGGACGGGGGGGAAAGGGCCGCGACGACCGCCACCGTCGCTGTCCCCTTCATTCCCGATGCCATCCCCCCCCCTTCCCCACTCTCGTGCAAACTCGGCAGCAGGCGTAGGTGCGGGCAGAGGTGGTGAGGGTGGGGAAATGCGACGGGCTGGCGACGGAGGAAACGCGACGGGCTAGAGACGGGGGAAACGCGACGCGCTGGAGACGGGGGGAAAACGCGACGGGCTGGCGACGGGCAGGCGACGAGGGAAAAAAAAAAACCGACGGGCTAGCGACGAGGGAAACGCAGCCGGCTCACTGCCGTGCCCGTCGCAGCGAGCGCCGTGCCACGAATGGGTGGGCCCATTAACTTAGGTCAAAAACTTAATCGCTCTATACCCTGTTACAATACTAAGCTAACTAGGAACCGGGGTTTACTAAGGGCCTAGGCTTAGTAGCCTAGGCCAAGCGGGTGTTGAGGTGGCTGTCACCAAGGAGAATTGAAAAATGTGTGTTGTTCACTTAGAACGGCAGCAGTGAAGTGTCGGTGCGTAGAAACAGCGACGGGCCAGCAGTCGAAGGAGCAAACCCAAGAGCCGCAAGAGTCATCCTCAGTATGTTGTGCCACTCGCGAGGCGCCTGGCAGAGACCGTAGACTGACCGCCGGAGGCTCCACTGGGTACCTGCAGGAAACGACCCAGTGAAGCCAGGTGGGCGGCGCAGCCAGATCTCCTCATGCAGGCTGCCCTGTAGGAAAGGAGTGCTGAAGTTAAGAGAGTGAAGCTTGTAGTCACGCTAAGCGGCGACGTGGAGCAGCACCCAAAGAGTGGTCATCTTCGGGGTCGGGGAGAAGGTCTGGAAGAAGTCAACTCCCTGTCGTTGACTAAACCCTCGTGCAATGTAACGCGCCTTGAAGACAGGCGGAGAACCCGGCGGCGGCTTCACCCTAAAAATCCACATGCCACTGACGATGTTCGCCCCAGGTGGGGGAACCTCATCGACGTAAGTGCCTGTGGACTTCCAAGATGCCATCTCTGCGTCCATGGCTGACTGCCACTGAGAGGAGTAGGGACCCTCTATCGCCTGTGTGTAAGAGCGCGGGTTCGGGATGTCTGGTGCATCCGGGTCTCCCTCATGTGCAATCAGCATGGACATAAGATGAGGTACAGCAGCAGCAAAACACTCAAAATCCTCCTCCCTGTCCTCAAGGACGTCCGTGCCAAGAGCACACTCACCCCCGACGGACGGAGGACAGAAAGACTCAGACTCAGCAACAAGGCTAGCGGTGTAGTCTAGACGACAGCGAGCAGCAAAGTCGGCAAGCTCAGCAAATAAGGCGGACGCAGCAGTGGACTCAATGGAAGGGTCATTGACAATAGTGGCCAGGAGACGCGTGACAGTAGGTCTAGCAGCACGAAGGGAGTCAGACTCCCGATCGGGACCGTCAGCAAGGGAGGACGCAGGAGGAGACGGCAGAGGGACACGCAGTGGAACAGAGGAAGGATGAAGTGCCATCTGGTGCGTGTCGAGGACAGGAGGAGGACATGGACGTAGAACACGACGAAGAGTGCGAACAGTCGACGCAGGACGAGACGCAAGCCCACGACGCTCAGTAAGATCTCCAATCTACTTAGTGTAAGGAGAAGGAGCAGGCAGCGGGGAGGCTGGCAGTAGCTGTAGCTGGGACTGGTCGGGGGGTGGACATAGGAAGGGAGGAGCAAGGTCAGTAGAAGGCGGGAGACCAAGAACCTGCTGAAGAAGTGGAACGAAGTACGGTCGCGGCCGCACAGCACCTCCAGCACCAGCATTGACAGCACCAGCTCCAGCAGCAACTCCAACTCCAGCTCCAGAAGCACCTCCAGCTCCAGCAGCTCCAGTACCTCCAGCAGCTCCAGCTCAAGCACCTCCAGCAGCGCCAGCTCCAGCAGCACCTCCAGCTCCAGCAGCTCCAGGACCAGCAGCAGCTCCAGCTCTAGCAGCACCAGCACCTCCAGCAGCTCCTGCGGAGATAACTGCAGCAACGGGAGCTAGGCTACGGGCTAGGCACGTGTGCTCGTGTGATCTCTGCGTTCGTTCACTTAGTCGTTTCCTTGCTAGTTCATGGGGAGAATTTGCAAGAGTTTCACTAGGAAAACATGACAACAATGATAGTAACAACATTGGCAACATTGACTACATCAGAGCTAGCTAGGCTGCTGGTCGACCTCCAGCGCAGCACGGTCGACCGCACTCCAGCGCAGCAGCGCTCGCACCGCTCCAGCGTAGCAGGGTAGCGGTTCGCCAACGTTGCAAGTCCACGGTGTGCTAGCGCTTCACCAAGTCGGCTGCCCAGCGTTGCACCCGCAGGACAACGGTGCACGTGCTTGGCAGGTGCGCGCAGCTGGTTGGTGCGCACTTCCCTGTCAAGTGCACAATGCAGACGCCTGGCAGACCCCATGCCAGCGACTGTGCCCACCAGCCACGTCGACTTCGGGATACCACCCCCGAGGTCGGCCTCGCAGTCTCCACCCTGGCGACACTCACGCACGTCGCCCGGGTATCCCGATCGACCGGGTCGACCGAGGTCGACCCGCGCAGTCCGTAGCCGGTCACGCATGCCCGGCGTCCCCATTCTGGCGTCCAGGCGCCCAGGACGCCTTCCGAACCCCCTGGTCGGCGTCCAGACGCCCAGGACGCCGACCAAACCTCCAGAGCGGCGTCCCTCCTCCCATGACGCCGACCAGACACCCAGATCAGTGTCGGGGCCCCCGGGACGCCCAGGTCGGCGTTCGGACCCCCGAGACGCCGTGCATATGCCTAGGTCGGCGTCTGGCCTTCCAGAGCGCCGTGCAGGTGCCCAAGACGTCGACCAGGCGCCCGGGTAGTCGTGGCGACGCCCAGCTCGGCGTCCAGCTTCCCAGGACGCCGTCCAGGCGTCCGGGACGCCAACCAGTCCTCCAGGGCGGCGTCCTCCTGCTCGGCGCCCCTGCAGTGGCCCCCGTGCCCACTGCTGCAGGTCGGCTGCTACCCTCGCACATCCGACCACAAGGTTGGCACCGCCCAAGCGAGGACGGGGCCTTACAACGCTCCCGTTGACACTCCCCTGCCACATTCACGCTTGGGCCCCCAGCCCTGACGGCAGTACAGCTCCGAGAATAGCCCGTCGACGTGCACCCAACACACAGCACGCCGGTCACCGGACCAGCCATACAAGAGGGCATGGCACCTACTGCTGCACGTCGTTGTCGCCGTCGTTCACGTCGGCCAAGCGCACCTGACCGATTGCGACGGAGCACCGGTTGAAGGCCGGATAGTGCAGCGCCTTCGTCTGGAAATCGGCCGGCTGCTCAGCAGTTGGGATGTACTGCAGTGAGAACTTCCCGCGCCTCACCATGTGCTGCAGCCAGGCCTGTCGCCGCTCCATGTGCTTGAGGTTGCCTGTCAACCCCATGCCCTCAGCGACCGGGATGGCCGACTTGTTGTCCACGTGCAGGACAGTCGGCTTCCCGGCGTCCAGTTGCCGGAATTCTGCGAGGAGGAGGCGAAGGCGGCGTCCCTCCTTGCCAGCTTCAGTGGCCGCCACGTACTCCGACTCGGTCGACGACAACGTCGCGCACTTGATGCGCTGGCTCGACCAGGAGACTGCAGCCCCTCTGTAGACGAACACGTAGCCGCCCGTGCTCGTCCTGTTCTGCTTGTCACCGGCGTCGTCGGCGTCCATGTAGCCGACCAGCTCCAGATACTCAGGTCCACCGCCGAACTCCAGGGCATTGTCACGTGTGTTGGCGAGGTAGGCGAGGCAGCGGTCGACCTCGCGCCAGTGCTGGTCGCTCCTCACCGTGAGGCCGCTCCCCAGCTTGCTACAGGCGAAGGCGATGTCCGGCCTCGTCGTCGTCGCCGCGAACTGCAGCGAGCCGACCTTCTGCCGGTACTCCTCCTCCTGCCGTTCCTGCGCCTCCTCGTCATCGAAGGTGAGCTCGGCGTAGGCACCGGCCGAGACCGGCGTCTTCGGGGTGCGCCCGGTCTGCTCCTCGTCGAGGAAGCGCCTACGCAGCTTGTCGGCGTAGCCCTGCTGGTGCAGCCACAGCTTCCCCGCCGACCTGTCGCGCACGATCTCCAGTTCGAGGTACTTCTGCACCGGCGAGATCTCGCGCAGCTCGAAGGCGGCTTCCAGCAGTTCCTTCAGCTCCTTCAGCATCGTGGCGCTGCTGCTGGCGGCAAGCAGGTCGTCGACGTAGACCAGCACCCAGCAGGCCACTCCACCCTCGCCGACCTTGAAGTAAAGAGCCTCGTCGACCTGGCTCTTCTTCCACCCGGCGCCGACCAGCACATCGTTGAGCGCCAAGTACCACAACACAGCGACTGCTTCAGCCCGTACAGGCTCTTCAGCAGCTTACACACCCGGCCGGTTCCATCGTTGAAGTAGTCCGGCTGGGACATGTACAGCACCCGATCGAGCTTGCTCTGCAGGAAGGCGTTCTTCATGTCGAGCTGCATCAGGTTGAGGTTGAGGACAGCGACGATGCTCAGGAAGATCCAACATGACGTAGCTGCTCACCGGCGCGAACGTCTCGTCGTAGTCGGCACCGTACACCTGTGTGAAGCCCTTCACGACCAGCCTCGCCTTCTCTCGCTCGACGGTGTCGTCGATGTGGTACTTTGTCGTCAACACCCA